TGGGGAAGGGGAGCAGGGAATGCACCTTGAATGTGACTCCTCCATGAAGAAGCATATACATACTAGTCAGGAAAAGGAGGAGCATTGGGAACCTCAGACCAACCTTTTCTTTATTTTTTTTTCCTTTTTTTTTTTTTCTTTCTTCTGCTACCAAATATCCATCAAGATTTTATGTTAATCTTGAAAACATCTCAGCTACTTGTACAACTCGCTTCCCAAAGTGACCAAATCTTCCATGGTTCATAACTAATACCTGTGCATCTTTAGGCAAAAATACTGTCTCTCCCAGACCAGCTAGGTGTGTGTTGTCAGGTTACGGAGGAAATGCTTGCCCAGGATTTTGAGACTGCATGAGAGCAGTACTTATAGGTGGGCTTATATGACATTCCTTAAAGTGCACTGGAGGGTGCTAGGCTGCTCCTTGGAAACCTGCCCTTAGAAGGTGGCTGCATCGTTGTCAGGGACTCGCAGTCCTCCCCTTGGTCTGGAGGCTTTAGTTGTAAGTGTGTGAGATGACAGTATCTAGAGAGAGAAAGCAGTAACTGCAAGAAATGTTCTGCTGTCTTTGCAGGGTAGCACAGTGCAGAGATACCCACAAGCTCTGAGCAATATCGGAGCTCCTAGCTGAAGGCTCCAGAGCAGTTGTGTTGTGTTGTGTTATCAGCGTGCCTGAGCTGATAAGCTGTATAACTTGGTATGGCTAACTAGCAGAGAACAAGTTTGTACTGATGCAACTGTAGTCTGAGTTTGAGCTGGTGGATGCTGACCTGTATGGTGCTCCATTTCAAATATAATAATGCCCTCGTTGTAACCCCTCTGCTTATTGTTGCTGCTTTAGCAGTGCCGTTGACTATGTAGAACTTGTCTTTCATTTAGGAGGATTAAAGCATCATTATGTATTGGTCTGGGGAGTATCAGGTATCTTGCAGTTCTAGCCTTACTGTGAGTCTCGGTGCAGTGAAGTCAGATAAAATTAATAATCAGGGGTAGGAACCCTACCAGAGTAGGTTATTTTAGTGTCTTTACTTTTGTGAGCATGTAGGTAAAACTGCTTTAGCTCCCTGCACATAAAACCAGTTGGTAATTCAGCAGTAATGATTCTGACCAGGCATGTGTTTGTCGCTTCATATGGAAAACTAATTTAGCCATTGGGAAATGTGTCACTTTGAAATTTTATGCTCCCTATATTTTGTCAGAAGGAGCCTTAACTGGGAGTTAGTAAGCAATAAATATTTTCCCTAATCCTGGAAGTTAGGAGAAAGAATGACTTTAATTAATTTTACAGGTTCCCCATACTTTCAGTAAGCTGTTGAGAAAACAGAGCCTTGAAATGTTACCTGACCAGATTCACAACTTCCCAACAACCTTCTTTAATAAGCAGCTAATGATCATTTGAGTATTATTATTTAAGATAGCCTAAATTTAAAGGAAAATATGGCTTTTGCATAGAGATCAGCAAATGGAAATTGAGGTGCGCTGTAAAAGCTACCATATTCCAGTGCTGCAGGAAAGATTTGCCTTGGACGTCTGATCTGTATTTTAGTTTCTGCGAGAAGTTACAGATTATTTCTATAACTACAGATACATTATGACTATCTGTAGATATATAGTTATCTATATAGATATATACTATGTAGATATATTTAATTCCAGGTGAATTGGAAGCAGTTAAGTTCCTTCTACCCCCAAAGGAAGAAGTGTGAAACTAACAAGAAGAGCTGTGTTACATGCTCAGCTGCAACAACTGTATGTATAAACTGAATGTCTGTACATGCACACAGACGAATGTCTGCATTGCTAAAGTGCAGATTTCTTTTTTCCTGGGTGAAGTACATAATTGTTGGAATTTAATGTACATGGCGAAGTATAAAAATGCAGTGTTATCTTAAAATTCTGGCTTTCAAATGCCTAAATCTGGTACTCTTCTATATAGTGCCGAAAAATACTTAGATTCTAGGGCTCAGCTCTAACCATTTAGCTGAATCGACTCATCCTTGTGTGTGTTTTCATGAATTGATAGATTAAGTGTGTTTAACAAAATGTGTAGTTAGATTAAACACACCAAATAGGATCCTACCTTGTTCCTTGATTCTTAAAGAATTACTCATGTGGTTAATTCAAGACATATCAGCAATCCCGCTGAGCTCTTGTATTGTTATGCTTCCGTACTTGGTGCATCTATAACCAACGTCTGAAAGGTGTATTTTCCAGGCTGCCTAGCTGAAAGGACACTGCAGGGAAGGCTGAGAGGAGACTGTGCTTCCTGCACAGAGTAGGAGGTGGGAGAGTATTTTGGGGTCCGCAGTACTAGCAATAGGAGCTGGTTTACTACCAAAATCATTACCAATTCTTACCTTCTCCTGGGGCTGTGCTGAACTCCTGCTGGGTGAGGTGCTGTAGGAACCTCGCAGAAGGTGTCCTTTGGTGGAATGGATGCTGTGCTGCTCAGAAGTACAAACCTGGACATTTTTTTCTGTTGTTGTAAAACGGATTTTATGAATGGCCCCTCTTCCCTGATTGGTTTCTCTGATACCTCATATAAGGATGAGCTCATCTAGCATTCTCTCTGTCTGTGAGATCACTTTAATCTTCTCTACCAACTGACTGTTTTAAGAGACCTCTAATTCTGTTTGAAATCTAATACAGGACTTGGTGGTTATTAGAGGGGAAATAGGGACAGGCACATGCATTAAAAAAAAAAAAAAGACTAAGAAGAACAAAGTCTTGGGAACCTTGCCTGCATACTTTGCTGTGCAATCGCTTGAAATTGTGGATGCTAAATTCTCTAGGATATAAATCACAGGGACAGAGTTCTATGTTTACATTCTCAGCAGATGGAAAGAGCTGAGATCTCTTCTGCCTCAGGGAGCCTCTTTTCTTCCTAACGTGTTCAGTTTTTTATTCTTCCCTTTCGTAAGACAGGCAAATTAGAGAAACGGTCTGTGAGGGTAGCCCCAGACACTGGTGAAGAGATCTTTTCAGGTCAGATTCAAGAAATCAGTTTCTGTTGCTCAAGTGGGGAAGAGAGACTGAGAAATTCAGATGACCTAGCACTAGAAGTGAAGCATGCTATTTATGCTGATAGAACTGGCCCAGGACTGAAGTGGTCAGTCGTAAGTGGTGAGAAGATACCAGCAAAGCTGTCTTCGACAAAGTAGAATGGCAGCAGAAGGTGAAGCCCAGGGCTAAGAGCTACTAGGTGTGGCTGGAAAAAACAAGGATCATGAAGGAAAGGCAGAGACTGAGAACAGTGAGGGAAGAGTGAGTGAGTAGGTTGCTCATGATAGTGCTCCTGTGAGGAAGTTCAGAACCGAGACTGATTGAAAGAAGACTGCAACCCACAGTATGGTGGAGAGGTGTTCAGACTGGAGCTGTGAGGTGACCGAAGCGAAGCCACTGGCAATGGTCAGTGACCATTGGGAAAGACTCTGGTAGTGGCTTGAGCAAGAAGGTGGAGACGGAAGGATAAGACTAGATTTTGGAGGACTTGGATGAGAAGCAAGAGATAAGAATTGGGACTGGCACTGGATGAGGTTGCAGAGGATCATGCAGAAGATTGACATTCATGTGCTATTTTGGAATAGATTGTAATTTGAGTTCAATCTTGAAGTTTGAACTTGACTGTTAGGTCTAGTTAAGTGTTACTCAGTTGTCTTTGATGATTTTGGCCCATGTTGGCTTCCATATCTATCTAACCATTGTCCACCCATTCTGGCCTCTTTACCTAACTAATCCCAAACGAATGCTGTCAACTAATCTTGAGCACAAATCTGCCTTCTTTTTAGCTCAAGTATCAGTTGCTCCAAGATCACCTCATCTCACATCTACCCCAAGACTTTCCTTAAGGGTTTTCAGCCTTAACCCTGTTGCCCCTGAGATTCTTCCTGGCATTTCCAAGAGCTGCCCTGTACTGCTGCTCCTCTATCCGTGAAAAAAGAGACTGCTTTCAAGACCGTGGGGACTAAGTTTAGCCTCATTCCCATAGCAACGCTGTTAATCCTCAAACAAATACCAAACAACAATGGTGTTTAGGGATGGAAGGGTGTTAATAAAGGTGTTTTGGGAGTATTCCTACTGAATAAATGCGCTTTTCTTTTGTTGTGACTTTGTCAATCTAGGTTTTCCTGGCAAACTGCTTTTTGGGTAATAGCTAAGGTATCAGCTACTTCTGTATGCTTTCATGTTTTTTAAAAGGTTTTGTGCTTAAGGGTGGCGCTCTATTCTTGTGTATGGTGCCAGGCAGGGGATCAGCACCTCTGTTGCTGCTCTTTATCTTCCCACTCAGGGGAGGTTGTAATTAACAAGGCTGAGTTCACCACATGGTGCTCTGCAGTGAAGTTGAGGGTATGAATCAAATCAGTTCTGTTCAGTTAAATAGGAGGAAATCCAAGTACACTGGGGGTCTCTAGGTGGAAGAAATGACAGAAAGCTGGAGGGAGTTTTACTTTCTGCTGAAAATATTAAGTACTCAATTTCAAATTGTTGAATACTCCAGACTTGCTGCTTGTAGCCTCTATTCCCTACTGCCAAAACTTAACAAAGTTAAATTCTAATCTCTGTGTAATAGAGTATACAGGCCTCTGTGGACCTGGGAAACAAGTTGTTCTCTTCTGTATTAAGCAGTATACAGATGTCAAGAGTCAGCTGAGATGGTTGATTACACTGATAAAGAACTGAAATACAGGGAAAAGTGTTGTCCCAAATGTAGCCTGGAGGAGAATTTTCTTCCACAACAGAAACAGATTGAGAACTTAAAAACAACTTCCAAAGGAGTGAGAATGTTTTCTGTTATCTCATGTTTTGCATTGTTTTGTTTGCAGACAATGAAGCAATCATTCTTTTCTTTACTGAATGATTGGGAAATAGGTTATATTTTATTTGCTCTGTATATATTGGTGCTTATCTTGGTTATCATATGTACTGATCCTGATCTTGGACACGCAGAAGAAGAAAGTAACTGGAGGTCCAGTGAAGTTTACCCTTCACAGGTTTAGACTGGTATGTTTCTCTCTAACATTTAGAAAGTTCAAACACTAGGTATGGCATTTGCTTCTGCAAACTGTGTACATCTGTAAGGTTCTCAAATTGCTGCAATCAGAGGTACTTTTAAAGCAAATTTGGCTCAGTTATATACTTCCTATATTGCTCAGTGTACTATTCACTATTTGCATCCGTGATCCACATTAACCAGCTTTCTTATTTTGAAGAAAAAGCTTTCTTTCTTCCTTTTTTTCTTTTGTATTGTTAGAAGCAAGGAAATGCCTCATCAGGGACTAGTGGGGTCCGAGGTGATTGCTTCCTGGGAATGAGTGGTGCTTTCACATATTAAATTGCTGCTGTGCAGGCGTTACCATGTGATACTTCCAATAGCTTTTCAGAAGCAAAGAGGCGCAGAATCCAAATGACCTTTAGCAGGAAAAGGTTGTTTTGTTTTTCTTTGTTTTTTTTTTTTTTTTCCTAGTGAGTGAATCATTCTTAGATTTTAGGGGAGGTCAGAAATAATTGATAATGGTTGTCTTGACATTTTAACTCTTTACTTTAAGGCCTGTTGGAAACGCAGTCTTTGCATGAAGCAGATGAAGATGTGGTCACTGATGTTGATTTCACCAGTATGATTTCTGAAGAAGAAAAAGAAGAGTTAAAGATTGAGCTAGCCAAGGTAATGAATTTGGATTTCTGTGAGTGTTACTGCTTCTGCTTCCTTAAACTGGAAGATATTAAGTGTAGAATGAAGTACACATCATAAAGGTATGCTCTTCCTTTTTAGTAAAATTATTTTAGGCTACAATGATGTGAAGCAATTAATTTCCTTAAATAGTTTTTGAAGATTACAATCATCAAGTAGAAGATATTTAGAGAGAAAGTTAAATATACCTTACCATTTTAGTCAAGACATATGTCTTTATTTATAAACCTTCCTTTATAAAGAATGAAAGGTGTTCTTATTAGATCTATGGTATTGTTGTTACAGCGGTTGTGATGCCTGATGGAGAAGATTCTTTGTATGGTGCTCAGAGGAAAAGCTGATGATGATGGTTACAGAAGAGACTGATGATGATTAGCACAGTAATTTCACCACATTTTTGTTTCCTTTGGCACTGATGTGTTTAGAAAGGGTTATATTTTTGGTTTGCATTTGTTGTTTGCTTAATTGAAGAACTTCAGAAGATGTCATGACACCATGAAGAGGTTTAAAAATAATAACAAGCAGATGGGAGGAAGAAGGTGTGAACTATGTGGTCTTTTTATTACAAAGATTAAAGAGATTGTCTAGATTCGGTCTACGATGGGAGGGTGGATTCAGTTTTAATTACTGCTGCTGAATACCACAGAAACAGAAGTGAAATTCCAAAATGGAAAATGAGAGAATGGGAAAACGTGAGGATTTACTTATTTTAAATATGAGACAAATAACAGAAATCACAGCTGTATGAAGCAGGGGAGTTGTTTCTGCCTTAATTGAAATAATGAATTTTTAAGACAGTAGGTTGGGAACTTCACATAGCAAGAATAAAATAACAACCCATTTGAATAGTAGGAAACCCAAAATTTGGGACTGTGAGCCTATATCCTCAAAGTGTAAACTGGCTAGGGAAAAAGCATTCCTTCGTAATTGTTCCGTAGTGCTCTGTGAAGCATTTGCTGCTATTACACACAGAATGGGCACCTCCAGAGGACAGTTCTTTTGCAGAGATTGATCCCTCTCTTTCATACAACAGAAATATTTAAATTAATATTAAGTTGTAATTTTGAGTACTCTAAGAAGTCACATTCTTTATGACTCTCAAGTCATTTACCTTCAGTGCTGATTTAGGATTTTCTAGTGAAACAAAACCCAAAAGATTCTTTTTTCACTTTACTGTTTTATCAAGCCGTGTGTTTCTGGGTTGCTAGTTAATTTTTACTTCTTTGCTGATCCTGTCACATCTGTAAATAATAAGGAAGCTGAAAATTTACATGTTCAGTTCATCACATAGCGATGAGGTAGGAGTTGGGATGTTCATTATTGGCTTTTCGTCAGGACCAGAGGCAATGGGCACACACTGAAACACAGGAGATTCCCTCTGAACATCAGGAAACACATTTTTACTGTGAGTGTGACCGAGCACTGGCACAGGTTGCCCGGAGAGGTTGTGGAGTCTCCATCCTTGGAGGAGATATTCAAAAGCTGTCTGGGCACAGTCCTGGGCAACTGGCTCTAGGTGGCTCTGCTTGGGCAGGGGGGTTGGACATGATGACCTCCAGAGGTCCCTTCCAACCTCAGCCATTCTGTTATTCTCTTCTCTTTTCTGGTGAAAGGGACTTAAGAGGCAGATGGAAACAAGGGAGAAAAAAAGAACTTCCTGCAACCATCTGAGAATGATATGCCTCTCTCAAGAGAATTAATCTCAAGAGTTTCTAGGCATCCTTCCTGCTTGCTGATTCCTGTGGGAGCAGGGAGTTCTCAGTGGCTCATGGTAGAAATGCTTTAATTCAGGTACCAACACACAAGTGAGAGATTGCCTTTCAAATATTATGATCTTGGCCGACCTAGAAATTATTTTCTAAATTGCTCACAGCAGTTTACTGTCATACAGCTTATGCTTAAAAACAAAATAAAACTCATAATTATGCTAAGAAAGGTTTGGAAAACTTGAATTTAGAGTGAACAAAGTCTAAACTTAAATGAGGCTTATGATTTTTAGAAAAGACTGTAAAAACCATGTAAGACCTTGACTCCTTCAGAAAGAAACCTCTGTGGGAATTGGTTAATGTTTCCTTTTGAAAAGCCGTTAGTCTTTACTTTCAAGCCCCCTCTGCTCCACCGGTGGTAGTTTTGTTTTCTTCCATGTTCTTATGTGTTAGGTAATACCTGTGAGTCTGTAGGAACAAGCACCTTTCTTCTTATTGTTCTGAAAGGTTCAAATCTTCCTTAATGCTGCAGTCACTTAATAGTTGATATAATGGGGAGCTGTTGTGAGCACCTGTTGTGCATGTATTTAAACAGAAAAAACTATGTTCCATCTCTGTGTATGTGCTGTATATATTCTCTGTCTTCTTCCTCTTCCTCCTTCCTTCCCTGACATTAGGAGGGGAACTAGCACTACTGTTTCTTGACAGGTTTCTTGTATACTCTTTTCCTATTCCTCTGCTAGTAGTCTCTTTGTACTGGAAGCTTTTCAGAGTGTGGCCTAACTCTGTTCTTGTATTTGTAGTCTGGCTAACACAGCAGAGCTCTGACTCTAATCAAGCCTTGGAATTTCTACAATGCAAGTAAAATGAATACCTCTTACAGGAACTTCCAACAGTCATTTGAGTTAACAGAGGTCAGTCTGAGACTTTGGAATAATAGCAGAAAAATGTAGCCCGAAAACTTTACGTAAGGCCAGAAGCTTACTAGCAGAACAGATTCCTCCCCCCCGCCCCCCCAACCCCTTTCCTCCCTCGGTGTGAGGAGCATGGTACAGTGACTCCTGAGTCATGACGGGGGCTGAGGTTTTGAGCTATCTCGCTCACTGCTGTCAGTTGTCCTTCCATTACGCTCACCATAGTCGTCATTCACTCCTTGCTGTCTTCCCCCTCCCATGCCTTCACAAAAGCAGCTATCTGCTTTGATCTACAAGCTTTCTAGCTGATGCACAGGTTCCAAGTTCACCTATGTGTGTTACTGCATGTTTATTCCCAGTTTGAGGAAAGATGTGAGTACCTTTTTCTGCTTAACTTAGGGCTAATTTTATTTATGAGTGTCCCTGATGTCTCTGGGTGCTGTTCATCCAAGGAAAAACTTATAAATCAACAGGTACTCAGCCTGGAGGTGTGAAGTTTGAGCTATATGATTTGGTGCAGAGATGAAGTGCCTGTTACTTTTTGTGCTGTGTTATTCTGTTCACAGTTACAACTGCTTTCTTTAAAAGGCTACCATAGTAAGGCGCTCACATTTCCTTACAAATATTTTATGCATTTTACTATACGTGTTATAATACTCAGCAATTTTGAAAAGGGGTAACAATTCAATAACAATCAGTAGTTTGCTAAATACAATAGCTAATCAAAATTTAAGGATCTCATGGATTGGCTTCATTGAGAAACAGTTTTACTGTATGTTTGATGTAACTTTGTGTCTTCTGACATAAAAAGGATTGTGTGAAAGAACGATATAGAAAAGATGCAGTCTTGTGGGTTTTGTTGTGTTTTTTTTTTTGAAAGACAATGAAATGAAGGGAAAGATGATTTTGTTCCTCACAAAGTGAACTCCTTTCTGTTATCAAGTACCCCCTCATAGTTGCTCTTCCCACCAGTGATATACCTGGTCCTTCCTTATTACATTTTTTGTTACATGTTTTCCAGCTTTTCTTACAGGATATAACTGCAGAGAGTTAATATTCAGTTGTAGCCCAGGCGGGCAGATGCATGCTGCAGTCTGGCTGCCACCGTGGTGCTTGTGGTGGTGAAGTGTGTGAGCCTGCCCTGAGGATCCAGGGTATTTCTGAGCCATGGTTCCATGATGTGAGAGGTTTTGTGGTGCTGCCCTTTCAAACTTTCTACCCCTACTGTTTTCACCTGCATGCCTCCTGGCTAGTTTTGGGAGCATGACGAGGAGGTGCTGTGCTGTGAGCTAGTGTGACGCAGCTGTGCAGGGGTGAACTGCGGTGGTGCAACCGAAGACGCGTGTCCCAGCTCACAGGGGCCAGTGGGAGTTCCTTGGGACAGCACTGGCTCCAAGACCTCCCTGTCAGGGGACCGTGGCCTCAGCTTCTTTGCTGGCTTTGCTGTAGTTGCCTTCTCCTTCTAAAGTTTTTGTCGCCGTATTATCACACTGCTGGTGTTGGTTGCGTAACTCGCTTTTTATTTCTTTAAATGATATCTGACAAAGCCTGTCCCCGAGATATTTCTCACTCCTAAACAGCCATGTCTGCCTTGCTTTCAGTAGTGATGTATGCCTGTGATACATATCACAGACCATGACCTTGATGGGTGTACTGCTTGTGCTGCTTTAATTGATCGCTGCCTGCCTCTCTTCTCCGTCTCCAGCCGCTCGTTCCTGCCGCCTGTGCTGTGCCCACACAGGTACTTGCGCACCTCTCCGCATTGGATCTGGGAACTGATCTGGCTTAAAAGTATCCCATGTTTTTTCTATGATGGCTTTTACCTGGTTCAGCTCCCCCTGGTGATGAGGGCTGTGCAAACAGCCAGGCCAGGGCACTACATATTTGGGTGATGTAGTGGTGGGGAAAAAGGATGCTTAATCTATCTTAGAAGTACACATATAACTATGCTGGCTTCTGTTTTCTGTTGCGGCCCCTTAATATTTTAATCACTTACTGCCTTGATCCTTAAAACAAGCATAACAGATACTCAATTTACTATTCAGCTTACCATTCAACCCATTCATCAGTATTATTCCAACCAGTAGCTGAATCTTTCCACCTCCACATTTTACATAGTACTGTGTGTATCTCAGAATATAGATAATACCAACTGAAATAATTTTTTATTAATAGTGGTTTATCCAAAATGCTCCATTTTACTGAATAAGTACTTTCTGGTTTGTTTTTTATGAACTTTTGTGAGTGTCTACTGGAAAAAATGGGAAAGGTTATATGTTAGAGAATTACTGGTGTGTTTTTTTTCAGGTATGCCACCATCTTAAGAGGATGTTCAACCCTCTAAAACATACAGTTTGCCCTAAAATAATTTAAAAAAAGGCAAAACAAGGGAAAATACGTTTTCGTGTTTGTGTGCTGGACTTACGTGGACTTCACTGTCCTTCTTCCATATTATTAGTCAGTCCTAGATTTCAGAGAGATCTATGTGTAGTTGCGGATTTTTTCCTGCGGTCTCACCTTTGTGTCATTTACATGTTACTCATGTCAGCTAATCAAGGGAATCATAATGTCTTAGGTGGTCAGCTGCTCTCCTTGCTTTTGCACGTGTCCCACGCAATAACAGAGGAAAGAAAAAACAGCCACTAACTCTGATTCCTAAGCCCACAAAGAGGGAGAAGGGAACTTCTTCCCTCTATGGTGAATCTCTGGTCTTCTGACTCTGTTGCACTTAGAAAGAAGGGAAACGTGAGGACTAGAAGGTTGTATTTCTGTTGACTTAAACCCTAGTTTCATAGTGGAATCTGCATTTATAACAGTGGACTTTTCAAAAATGCCTAAGCAGGTGATGCCTGACTTCCATGGGAGTTAGGTACGTAACCTGCTTAAATGCTTTTCAAGATCCCACTATAAGTCCCTAATCCTTTTTGCCTACTTCACAGTCTTCAACCACTGATATCTGAGCACTTGAGGGAGGCTTTGTGGCTTCCATTGTTTTAAAATGATGGAACTTGAGGAGGATTTTGTCAAATCAAAACCAGACTCTGATCTCTAAAGTAAAATAGTTTATTATTTTTAATACAGTCAAAAATACTGTTCATACTTATGCCATTGAGCACATGGTTAATTCTTGCTTAGGGCTTTACAGCTTTACGTGTCTATTCAACGGAACAGATGGAAAGTAATTTTAATAGAAGCCCTCAAATGTTTATATATCCAGGTACCTAATGATCAGCCTAGTGCTAGCCCATATGGAAAGCATTAATGTTTAAGTACATGTAAGCATACTGGTATTGGTTTAAGTTAAGTTCTTTAGCAGTGTTACTCAGGCAGGCTTGTGCACTGAGGGGTTTGCTGTGGGTGGGAAACAACGAAAGGGATCTCTGAACTGCTGCCTGAGGAGTGCTGACATTTGAGATTTCTTCTTTCTGTAAGCATTTAACCAGTTATCCTCTCAGAAGAGAAACTCATGATGCCTCTTGACAGCATTTCATTTGTAGGTTAGGAATGTAATGGAGCATAAAGGACAAGGGAAGGAATAAAGCAGTTTTGGATTGTTAGGTATTCTATTGTCGAAGTGTTGGCATCACAGACATTGGTGAATACTGGTATCTGCTTCACTGAGGTCATGATTTTGCCTTGTGTTCAGAGTCTTGCTGCTTAATTCCTGAGCTGCTTGAATGATTTAGATAGCAGGTAGTGACAAAAGAGAAACTGATAGCTGAGGGATTCAGGCGTGAGACTTTTCAAGAACAATGAGCTTGCAGCCAGTTTTACAGGGAAGTAGAGCATGATGTGTAAAATAAAAATAATGCTGGTATTGACATCCTAAATATAGCCCTGGAGGTCAGCAACTCATTCTGCTGCTGCTTGCCTTGTTCCCTGCAGCCTATGGAGTTAAATCACAGGGAGGCTGTGGTTCCAGGGAACTCAACATATGGTGATCAGATACATTACCATATGTTATCCTATTAACATATGGAGGAAGGAACACAGTTGGTAAGGGAACTTCTAAACCTGAAGTGAAAGGCAGCTACTCTGGTGTCACTTGCCCTTGCTAGCGTCAGTACCTCTGAGTGCTGCTCGTGTAGTTGGCTTAGGAGGCTTCCGCATGAAGAACGCAAACCCCGCTCACAGCAGTGCTGCCCAGGGGAGGGTCCTGAGCCAGCGGCAGGCTGACTCAGCGGTCCCTCCTCTCAGTCCAGTGTTCTGGTCCTTGCCTTCCTAAGCCACTGGCTGGGTTCAAATGTTTGAAATAATGTTCAGTGCAGGGGGAATTGTATCCCTCTGCTTGGGCTGAATGGTGTCTTTACAGCTTCACAGTTTGGTTAATGACTAGGAGCTCTGAAAAGACTAATCTGCTGTGTCTTCTGAATGATTCTATGCTTTGGGTAGGACCAGTTCACTCATGTTAACAGTACATCTGCTATATATTTTTATTTTACTGTTTTGAAATATGTAGAGCCTAAAATATATAGATAAAACTCATGACAAGGACGTAACTTTTTATGATACTCTCCAGTCATATGTTATCATGTGAATTTTTTTTTTTAACCTGCTCCTAAGAATTTGCATCTATTTTTTTCATGAATGGAAGACTAAAAAGCTGCAAATATGAAGTTAAAAGCCTGTGGATTGAAAGAGAGAGATCTGCCTGAATTATCCCGTCTTCTCTTGTTCTGCCCATTCCCATTTTACTAATGAATGGAAAGCTGATGTTTGAGGCTCCTAATGCTCTAAGGCAGATCTTGGTCAAGTCGCTCAATAGTCACTTCCTTACTGGAGAATTCTCTCTCTTATTAGATGCACGTGTATGGTGGTGCACAGTGGTGGCATAGGTCGAGACATTCATTTAATGTAGCATCAGTTCTATTCTGGGCATGTCTTTGTGATCTCCTCAAGCACTCGAATCTCTCTGTCTCTCTAGTCACCTACGAAAAATGCAAGTTTATGTGAGATTAATTTAATCTCTTCATATCGTACGTGTTTATCATTCTGTGGGAACAGGCTAACACCTTTCTCCTTTCTCCTCCTCCTTTGTGTCTCTCAGCTAGAGGATGAAATTTCAACTTTGCGGCAAGTGCTAGCAGCCAAAGAAAAGCACCTGGTTGAAATTAAACAAAAGCTTGGCATAAGTCTGATGAATGAGCTGAAGCAGAACTTCAGCAAAAGCTGGCATGATATGCAGACCACTTCTGCGTGAGTACAGACCTTGCACGAATTCATTCTTATATGTTGTGTAGCATGTTGGGGGTACTGTCTTGATGAGCCCTGGTGTGAAATTTAGCAATTTAAATACCTTCCAGGAGGAGCAGATGGCAGGGACAAACATGTCAAGCTTCTCACAGCAAGGAGACCTGGAAAAAACCCTTCCACAGCAGCAACGTGCTTTGCTGCTGTGTCTTGCAAAATCACAGCAACTAAAACTGTTGTGGCACTGAGAAGGTTATTTTCCTGTCCCATGGCACATTCCTACAGAGTCCTTACTGATGAGAAAAAGGACCTTTTTTAATCTCAATGTATTATATTTTTCAACTTCCAAAAGAGACAATATAAAATAATAATAATAATTACCAAAATGTTAGCAGCTATTTAAAAAAAATAGTACCATCATCTGAATTATAAAGAATACTGGCAGGATTGGTTGATGTGTGACTCTGTTTAATTCCTGCTTTTGGTTGTCCAAAAGAAACAAAAAAATTGTTGGAGTAACTGTACCATCTTTGAGGTTATCATAAGTCCTATGCACGTTGAGTTTTTTGTTCTCTTCCAGCAGCATGTTCTTAGGCAAGTCCTCAAAGTCTCTCACAGCCTTGGTTTACCACTGTGCAGAATGGGTAACTAGTTCACAAGTATTCAGTGAAACTCATCTCGTGTAATGTGTAAGCAGCTTTGGGTTCTCAGGGTGAAAGGTAATGCAGAAATGTGAAGAACTGTTACTCCACTACTGCTGTTAAAATGGTTTTAACTTGATTTTTTTTTTTTTTTAACCCGAGCAATTATACTGTGGTAGTCTGTAGTCAGTTGCTGCCTTCCAGGAGGGTGTCTCTTAAAAATGCACCAGTTCTCGGATGAGGAAGCAGGGGAGGGAGGTTATTTGGGCTGCAGGTTGCTGCCAAGAGCTACTGGTGCGAGGCTTTTGTCTCACATAAGGAAGGACTTAAAAATACATATATGGACATAGTGATAAGACCTATCCTGAATCTGCCACAAAAAAATGTTCAAACCCAGGACAGGTAGTGTTACTTGTAAGCTTCAAACACTTCTTGCTCTGTATCTCTGATGGAGCATCACTGAGAGAGATGGCGAATAAAACTATGAATTCCAAAGCTCTAGGAAGGCCATGATAATTACTGAGGGGCTGGTCTCAGCTTCATCCTGATCTTTATACTTACACATATGAACATACCATATTCCTCTAAATTTGGGGGGGGCTGAATTAATAGCAACATTGGTAGAAAGAACCACCCACCTTTCACCAAGTGCTGTCTGAAAAGTTATTTGAGTTCGTTTTTGTTTTTTTTTTTTTTTTTAAATTGACAACTGAATTTAACACTTCTCGGGAGAAGCAAGAGTGAGTTGCTCCACAACAGAGCTGAGCTGGGAGTTGACAGCAAGGCAGGCAGGGCAGTGGCATCACCCACGAAGGAGCAATCCCACAGTACCTGAACACAGAGAGCAGAGCAGGTCCAGTGACAGTGAACAGGGTCAAGCAAAGAGTTCGGATCTCCAGATGAGTCTGTAGTGATGAACCATGTCCAAGGTCAAGCCAGGAAGACAAATCTGTGGGTCAAGATCAGTGAGGTACCTGGCCAGATACAGGCACCAGTAACGTATCTCAGGCAAGGACCAAGGCCTTTTAAGGAAGTCTGAGCTTTAGTGTAACTCCCAAGCAAGGGGGTGAGGAGCATAACAAGGCTTCTCCCAACCCTTTTCTCACGCAGCACTGTCACCACAGTCTTACCCAAGGTTACACAGTTGTGCAGTGTCAGAGCTGGCCTTGAGCCCAGGCGGCCAAACCTATGCGAGGAGTTGGGAAGAGTTTGCAGTGCCTCTTCATGCACTCAAGGCCCTGACAGAGACTTGGAAAAACTATGTAAAAATGTACATTTTTACATTAAAATAATCATTCTTTGTATTTTAATGAAAACTCAAATAATGCATAAACCCCTTAATAGGAAATGTAGTTTCTATGTCTCCTATCTCTACCTTTTGGACAGTTTCTCAGCTAGGTCCTATTTCTCATGACATGTCATTAACAGGGGCACCCATGCTGGCTCGGTGAGGACATCTGGCATGCGCCAGGAGAGGATAGTCAAGAGACACTGAGCTTTGGAAGAGAGGAGAGGCACAAGACACCTGAACTAGAGTTACTGGGAGACACTAGCAAAATTTTGAAACAAAAATTTTCATTTTTACTTGAAATTTGGTAGCAAATTCAAAGACAGCTTTTCATTTTCCCTTGGCAATGTTGACATTTTCCACAAGGATAGAGAGAAGTAGGAGACTTTATCAGTATTGTAGCTGCTACTTTTTATATAAGATGAGTTTCAAAAACAACAAGCCGTTAGGTGATGAGTGTCCATAAGTAGTTATGTGGAACTGAGCAGCAGGGATGTCCATGGTCCAACTGCTATATAATTCTGGCTGACACTTATGTCAGTACAGGGATGCCAGTACAAATCATGGTAATCCGGCATTCTTCAGAATGGATGTGTTAAGTAATAAAAGGTGATTCATTGTTGCTGTACCAAAATAGCAATGGGGTAGCATTACTCACTAAGATTCTCTGATTTAGTAAGGATGAAAAGCCTGTTTAAAAAAATGAAAATTCAAAATATTTACATGCTTGTACTTTAGGCTTCTAAATCCACAGTTAGTCATCTTAAGTTTTAAAAAGACCTGTTTTTAAGGAGGCAAATTTTGCTTTCATTCAGTCTTACTGGGTTTTGTAGCTGCTGTGCTTTTCTGTTAAAGTTAAAACCACTTTTCTTTAATGGAGGTCTTTTGAAAGCCACAGAGGACAATGAAGCACCAAATTTTTGTCCTCGTATTGTTAATAATCTTTTTAAGCTCTCCATTTAGGGATGCATTCTTAGGGTTGAAGTGGACTTAGAGGCAGAGAGGTGGACTTCTCAGAAAAAAATCTGTAAAGTGTGTCTGAACAACTAGTTAAGACTCATGACCTAACTCACAGGATGGATGCCACCTGGAATGACTAAATTTAAACTTGAAATTCTATTTTTAAGCATTTACATTTTGAATGGTTAGCCACAGGTAGCTTAGGAGTTAGCCTGAGCATGCTTGACATGTACATGTCAGAAATTGTCATTAAAGGATTTTTATGATTAAAAAGGAAAAAAAAAAAGTCATAATTTTCATACTGAGGAAAGCTAGAGCTGGAGGTCAGTGCTCTGATGTCCTCCATAGATTGAAGGTTATGTCAGGCTCAACATACAGTTCTGTACAAAGTCTGTTTCCTTGTCATTGATTCATGCTTTAAGGTATGCAAAAGCAATTCTAACTACCTTTAGTAAGACATTACATTCGCAACAGTAATGTGCAGCTTTTTTGTATCAAATTAGCGATTTTAAATCAGTTTTCTTTTTCTCTAAAGAAAATCTGTAATGTTGTTTGCATTTTTTGGCCTTGTATGAAATACACCTGGAAGTCACTCACTTATTATGATAACCAGAATCATAATGTATTTTTCAAGTTCCTTGTTCATTTCCTCTGCTATTCTTCAGTGCACTGATTTTTAGTATAATCTATGTGTTAGGGAAGGCAGGGGGTTCTACTATAGAGGATATCAGTAACTAGAGAGCAAACGATTGCCTCAAGTTTAATTTGCTTTCACGGTGGTAAGGCATTCAACTGGAATGACTTCCCACACACACCTTTTTAAAGATCAGGTTTCCAGTGAATAGAGGTGGGTGTATATTCAGATAGCTTCTAGCAATGCAGTTTTTTAATTTATATTTTAAACAGAGATAATTCATTCTTATTTAGATGCTAGAAGCAGGGTAATGTTGGCAGATTTCGAGGTTATTTATTTTAGCTTAAGAAATCGTTAAAAATGTCTTTACAGGGATATTTACAAAGACCATAATTAAGCTGTTCTAATTAACGTTTTGCTACAAAGGAAAGGTTTTATGTAACCTGAATGCAGTATGTTTACTTAGTTAAAGCTGTTTGATTGGTGGTGCTTCAATAAAGTTCCCACAGCTCTCTCTAGCCTTCCATACTTCAGATTTTCACTGCATAGTGCATTAAGGTAAGAAGATAGCTTCTGTAAAGATTGGCCTAGTTTTATACAGAATCACAGAATGGTTGAGGTTGGCAGCGATGTCAGGTGAATGTTTAGTCCAACTCCCCCTTTCAGAGCAGGGTCAGCTAAAGCAGGATGCTCAGGACTATGTCCAGTCAGGTTTTGAATATCTCCAAGGAGGGAGACTCTACAGGCTCTCTGGGCAACCCGTCCAATTACCCTTATTGTGAAAAAGCTTTTTCTTTTATTGGAATATTTCTTGCATTCCATTTGTGCCCATTGCCTCTTACACTTTCACTTGATACCTCTGAGAAGAGTTTGCCTCTATCTTCTCTACTCCCTTTCATCAGGTTATTTATACGCATTGATGAGATCCTCTCATGAGCCTTCTCTCCTCTAGGCTGACTATTCCAGCTTTCTCAGCCTTCCCTCATATGAGAGATGCTCCAACCCCTTAGACATCTTGATGGCCCTTCACTGGACTTGCTCCAGTATGTCCATGTCTGCCTTGTGCTGGGGAGTGCAGAATAAGACCCAGCACTCCAGGTGGGCCTTAACCAGGGCTGAGCAGAGGGGAAGGATCACCTCCCTCGACCTGTAGTCCCTCTTCCTAATGCAGCCCAGGATACTGTTAGCCACCTTTGTTGTCAGGGCACATTGCTGACTCATGGTCAACTTGTTGTCTACCAGGACCCCAGGTCTTTTTCTGCAAGGCTGCTTTCCAGCTGGTTGGTCCCCAGCCTTTACGGACACATGGGGTTATTAATCCCAACCTGCAGGACTCTGCATTTCCCTTTGTTGAACTTCATGAGACTCCTGTTGCCCCATTTTCTCCAGGCAGTCAATGTCCCAAGTAATAGTATTCTTCAATGCAGTTACAGAATTGCATTGCATTATATATGGAGAAGGTTGCAAGGATTAATTTATCCTC